GTTCAATTAGTGCTAAACGTCGAGCAGAAATCGGTGTGACTGGTTGAAGACTTGATTTCTGGTAAATGAAAAAGTTGGACTGGATATAAATTTTGATATGAATAATAGTAAGTTTCACACGGGCAAGAGACCTGGTCAGTGGAACGGAACAATAATCGAAGGATATCGTCACGTTATCGTAGCCCGGTAAATTATCTAATTGTCACCACACCCTGTGAACTATCGACAAGTTTTGTCAGTAAAAACTGAGATTGAGAATTGATTGTAAAAAGGGTTAATGTCGATTCCTATTATTTTCATATATCTACTCGATCATGCATGTCCAACTTTGTAAATCTACCACAGAGTGCATTGCGATACCCCATTTAACACATTGTAAGGAGCGATAACTTGTTCAGATTGCTGCCTTGTATAGCTCGGCTGGCAAGTTAAACTAACCTTCCACCGAAAATCTTGATTTTTTTTGTAGTACGACACACTGTGGTTGAATGGTGGTCCAGGGATTGATACTTTAATCAGTAACACTGACAACTGGGGAAAAGAAGTGATTGAAACTGACCACCAGGCCCCTGTTTCCCCAGTGACAATTAAAATGCTTGCAGTAGAAGTTTAGGACACAATATAATCTCGAAGTGTCTGTAAACTCACTCTTGCAAAGAACGAAAAAACTGAAAAAGGCTAACATGTACAGCTATCAAAAGTATATCTTTAAAAAGTTTTAACCAACATGAGTGTCAAGTTTTCCAACGCTATTCTGATCTACAAGTTTTGCAATTGCACAAAAGTTTGTCGTCATTACATTTGTCGTGTTTACATAATACGCACCAGTGCGTAAAACAGCGTTCTGTTGTGAAAAGCATTCAGAAATCATTCGAAACCGGTTTTCCAAACCGACAGTTTTTGTTGACCTGTTTACGTAAAGAGAGTATAGTGACATATTAACAATACATTACTATATCCAGTTTTAGCTCACCTGATCGGAAGGTCCTGTGAACATACCACAGCTCCAGGCATCCGTCGTTCGTTATTGCTTTTTAAATATGTTTTTATTTTCATTTCAAATTTTGTAAGAAGCATCCTTCAGAAAATTTAAATAAATTAGTACAAATGATGTATCTTGGTCACAAGGAGCCTGAATTTTGAGTATTGTACGATTGATTGGGTTTTACCCAAATTTTGTCTGAAGAATTCTTGGGCAAACAAGTATCATTTCATATAAGTGGTTGTTCTCTCCACCCTGAGTGGGAGGGGCTGGCCCCGATAGAGGAAATAGGGCGAATTCTCTTAAGTCGTACTCTTCCTGCAGGAATGATTGGAATTTGGCAAATTTATGGAAAATTAGTTTTGTATAAACTTTTGGATTCGAGTCCCTTGGATGGGAGGAGCAAAGTCCATTAGTATAATTGGAGCAAGCTCTTTTAAATCCTACTCCTCCTCTACGAATATTTGGATTTTGCTCAATTCAATCAAATAGACCGAATGGGAATCAGTTTTGAATAATGATGGGTCTCGGCCACCTTTGGCTGGAAAAACTGAACCCGACAGAGGAAATAAAGCAAACTCTTTAAACCACTGATCCTCCTGTAGGAATACCTTGATGTTGTCAGGTCTGACGAATTCCTGGAATCAATATTGATGAAACTGTAGGTCTCGGCCTCCTGGGGCGGGAGAATCGAGTCTAATTGGGGAAATAGAACAAATTCTTCAAAATCACACATCTGTAGGAATAATTGGATTTTTTCCAAATTCTTTCTGAAGCATCCTTGAGTGAAGAAAAATAGGTTTTGTTGAAACTTTGGGGTCTGAAGCATTTTTAAGTGAAGTGGATTAAATTTTGTTTAAAAGATTGGTCACGCCAAGTGGAGTGGGAGGATGAGACCGATATGGGTATAGAGATAATTCTTTAAAATACCACTTCTGTAGGAATGGTTGGATTTTGTTCAAATTCGGTGTGAAGCATCTTTGGTTGAAGGGGAATCAAATTTGTATAAAGGATAGGCCTCAACCCCTGGGGTGGAAGGGGTGGAACTGATATCGGAACAGGAACAAATTCTTAAAATCCAACTCTTCCTGTAGTTGACCATACCTATTGCCTTGAAGATGACGGTTGGTAGTGAAATCTATATTACTTGAGGGTTGTCTTAAACCTTTTATTTTTTGGGTGCAATGGCTTACTGGTTTCCAAATGCATGTAGTATCCTAAATAGCACAGGAAACTGGCTACATGAGCACATACCCCCATGGTTCTCTGCGGATTTCAACGATAGGGTCAAGATCTCTCCTTATGGAATGATGTGAGCAAATATATGAGGACTATGGACACCATAGCTTGTAATGAAAGATGAGTTGGTGTTTTGTGCGTTTGGGCAATATGGTTGAGATTTGATTGAAACTCTCCATACATAGTGTTCATTTTGCCTAGGAATACTGGCCATAAGATTGATCCTCTATGAATGATAGTGGGATGTTTCGCAACGTGTCATCAGCAACGACATGACCTTCAGATTTTGGCTTTCTTTTCTCATAATCGTTAAAACACTTGGTACACATACCAATCTCTTGATCAGCAGTAACGTCATTGCCAGCTGCTTTTAGACCATCAAACAACCAGTTGTGCTAGAGAAGTCTTATATTCCAAGCAGATTTCTTGATTCTAATGTCTCTCCTAAAGACAACTTCACAACCCGCACCTTCAAATCTACCTCTCATTGTGAGAACGGTACTGTATAAGGTGTTTAAAGGCTCCGTCTTAGTAGAAAATGTAGAAAGTAATGTCAAAAGAACAATTGATGATATTGGGGTATATAAGGTATATGATATATTGTTGGAAGATTTGTATAGTAACTATCGGCCATATATTGTATTTGATATCCTAATCATAATTAACAATCATGGTCATCCAAGTACATGTCGACGTTACATGTATATATGTAAGGAAAGGCACGTGAGTACCTACGGTTTGGAGTGTAACACGGTGGCCTCCTATGTCATTGGGGTAATACACATCAAAGCCAAATATCAATACCTTGCACAAACGGTGAAGTTTCGATCTTTCGGCAGTGTAATAGATAAAGCTATCTATATGCTGAATAATTTTGAATGGACTGAAAATGGAAGACATTCAAAATATCATTTGTTCACAAACAAGATTCCCAGAGGGCCTGTATCACTCACCTGTATATTTCTGTCAATAATGCAAAACTTTAAATTTCTGTAGAAGGAAAACATTTCCCCTGATGAGCCTCACCCCACAGATAAAGTTTCAAATTCCCGTGGGAAGGGGACAGAGATCAGTTATTAATCTCTTGTTATCCAGCAATGCTAGTTATGGGATGGTTCTTTTGAAGCGAAACTTTACTCATAAATAATGTGGCGTCGAAGTTTTACAAAAAGTGCTTTCAAACAATACACTTTTAACTATTTTAAGTCCTTAAAGATATACTTAAACCATTTATTAGTGATTTAAAAGAGATTGTCACGGTTGACTGTTGGGACGTATACCTTTACCTTTTATAAAGGACATGAGATACGTAAAGTATTTATGCAAGCACTGTACAGAACAATAGAGGTGCAGTGGTAACACACTCGCCTTTCATCTAACCGGATGGAGTTCGGTTACCGGAATCGACTTGAAAAGGTATGGGGTCACCTGTCCGCCCATGTGTGATTTCTTAGGGTGTTCCAGTTTCCTCCCACACAGTAAAACCTTTTTCACGCTTACATCCAAGACAACAAGAGTGATTATATAAACTGAAATAACTAGTATCGCAATTGTTTTAAAATAGATAAAGATGAAACTTATATAATGAATTAAACGGCATCAAAGAGTTGTCCCAGTGTTCTAACGCTAAAATTATATCAATTTCGTAATTTTCTATATTTATTTATTTTTTTTTTTTTTAAAGAGCCAGGCAGGTGTGTATTCTGAACCTTGCCACTGTTGGTGGAATTCAAACATGCTTGTAGGTTAAAAGCAAACCTCTGGGACTATAGTCCATCCAAAGGTTGTTCAACAGGCATGCAAACGAACAACACTTAAGATACATTACCGTCAAACAATGAATTTCACTACATCATACAGCTGTAACATCCACCCAGCCACTCGTCAGCGAGTACTAGGAATCCAAGGCATTGAATGGTAGACGAGATATGTCATAAGTTGCATGCAAAGCTGTTTTAGAGCTGCTTTATGGTCCAAATTAAAGTAGAAATGATGCGGCAGTCTTTAAAATATCTTGAAACAATAAATGCAGTCAAATGAGATCCGTTCCCAAGGGGAAGGATTTTAAAGTTGGCAAAGAAGAGGATTGCGCAGCGATTACCAACTTAATCATTCTTTTCCGAAGGAATGAGGTCACCCTACCACACTGTCATGGGTGTGAACGATTATGTTTTCTTATACTCTTCTAGAAATATTATGTCATAATAGTATTATCTCAAATATGCAGCATTGTTGAAGCGACGATAACGAATTATTGACATGATGTCCTTGAACTGGTGCTGTGACCTCGTTACATTGCCCGGACAGATGAATCCTGCCGTCTGCCTCCTCTTTATGATAAATATAAAATATAAATGACATTGTGATAAATAGAATCTACGACCTGAATGTGTTCGAGGTTGATATATATAAATCAAAATAACTCACAGGTGGCAATACATCAATATTTTGTAGTTCTGAAACTTGTTTTACTGCCCAAACGTAATTGCATAAAAATGGTGGGCAACAGCCAATATAAACCATGACAAATGTAGCATTTGAGACTAGGATAACCATTCAGAATTATTCTGCACAGTCAGTGTTCAGTTTGAAGTTGTAATTGTGGTCACTTCATACAGATGATGTTCTCTGTTTTCGGCTGGATAAACTTGATTGTCTAAAATGTCTGTCTGTTGCAATTGAGATCATTGAGTTTTCCTGCCAGTTATGCACTGAAGCTATTTATTGCTGTGTATTTCTCCTTTTCTCTCAGTAATTGTTAAAGACAACTATTTCTACATACCATTGAATTTTTATTGTTCTTCAATTAGTCAGTCAACTTACACAGTACACACATTGACAACTTTAACAATTTATCACAATTGACCTGTAATCCATTGAATTTGCCCGTGTAATTTACATGGATTTGTGTACATTTCACTAGTGTAATATATATTCTAGGGCTTTTTCATTGGCTGTGCCAGTTAGAAATCAGCTGTGATGTCATAATATGGACAAAGACTTTTTGTCATGATATGCAACAGAATGGCTGCCTCTGTTTGATTTGGCCTCTACAATTTGAATTTAAATAAAACTTGACAAAAATATATTTTCTCCGTTATGTAATGAAAACGATGTTAAATTTGTTTTCATTTCATAATCATAATTTTTTATGAATCTGATCTCAAAATGTTTTTCTAAGACTCATTTCATAAAAACTCAAATGAAATATATATCTATATATATCAAGAAAATAAATATGAACCAAGGAGGTAGTAATTACAAGACTCATATTGCAGAAGTGCGTTTTTAAATATCACACTCTCATTTCCTTAGTTCCTCATGGCACCTATACCACTATAAAGTGTGGTTTGGATGTAGCATACTTCATTAATTCACTACACCATTGGTGTAACCAGGAAGGAATGTATCACACCAAATAAAAGTATAACCATCTCTCCAATTCTAGTACTGATGAATTTTAAATGGCACGGAAATGGGTGATAAACCAACTAGCTTGGTTTTAAAGTAAACAAAAATCAACATTTGTCATACCATAAATGTTTAATAATAACAGTAAGACAGAAGCAGTGCCAGAGTTATTTCCCTTACACATATTATAGCACTAGTTACATAGCTGAAGGTTCATGTACAAGACATTACATGTAGATGTACAACTTAATAAATATTTCTGTAAAGAAACAGCTACGACATTCAGATTTAATGTACACATTTAGTCCCCCATTCAAGATTGGGGGCGATATCTTAATTCTGTTTTTACTATCATAGCATTCTGAAAGATTTTTTTATGTTTTATTTAAGTTTTCATCAATATTATCTTATCTATGTTATGGTTAACACATTCTAATACGTGTTCAATGGATAAAACATTGAAATGTAAGATATTAATACTCAGAGAATTGTCAGATTTACACTGTTGATTCATGGTGGCTTAAGATTGCTGAACTATGAAATGGTCCTGCCAGGTATCGTTATTCCTAGCTGTATAATCAATTCTTCTGACGTGTACAAATCAGTACTTACTGAAGTACCTTTTCCGCAAAGCACATTCGTCAATGTTAATGGAAGAAAAATTAAATTTATTTTGCCATTACACAAGCATTTTGAACTGCACAGATATGACATGGCCAGCATATCATCTACTATGCTATCTTACGACATGCCTCCTTTTCATTGTGTTTCACACTTCACACATTTAATTTCATCTTCGTTTACTACAATAATTTGCATAGAGAACAATAAACAAACAATAATTTTACGACAAACATTTGTAAAATTTTCCCATTAACAAATCTTTATAATACCTATTTCCACATTTAACATTGCATTATAAGTATTTTCATGTCGACAAAGTTCAATGTGCTCATATAACTATTTTCAGATTCGAGTAATATCCCTTTTGATATAGATATGAAAGAGAATTTCAATGTACCTGAATAATTTTTCCACAAAAAGATTGGCTAATACTTTCGTTTTTAACTTTCTAATTTTGTCAAGTGATGATTCATCACCCCTGCCATCTTTAATATTCCTTAAGACAGCAGTAGCCCTCAGCACAGGTGATTTGTACTTGTGCACATACAATACTAAGTGAAATTCCCAGACAAACAAGATATTTCAATAGCTGTCTCTCCTGAAAAATTAGTAGTTTATATCTAATTACTGAATAAAAAGTTATATCAATTACATATTAAAGCAAATCTATCATATTGACACTCTTCCACGATAGCAATGCTTGATCAAGGAAATACTAACTGCTGTTTGTAGCATATAGTGTTTACCCATATTGTAATGTGTGTTAACTATGTTTACATCACATCTCAGCTGTGGTAATGTGTTAGAGTGGCACTCAACATCAACAAGAATCCACAGGGTATCAATATTGCCATCAGTAATTTTCTGTCCCAGGACATCATACAGTCCATCGTTTGATACAGCTATCACTGGCAGCTGTCAGAACATTTGTAGAACTTTCCCATACTATTCTTGTTATGTTATTCAAAGCATGAGCACCTGTAAAATGAAGAAAACATATGATTACATTGAGAGATTCATGCTTACTGGACATGGGCAGAGGTTTTAAATGGCCTGAAAAATTATGTAAACCAGCATACATTCCTGCCAGTTTTACACTAAAATGTAGGGGTTTTGCAAGGGAAACTTCCTGTTCGGTACATTTGTAAGAGAATTTCACAAGAGAAGTCCTGTCTAATCAATTTTGTGTGACAAGCAGTTATTCGTTATTGGGGCAGAAAATGCAATATGTGCATGATTGCTCTGATATGCAAATTATAGTAGTTCATTTCTTTTTGCTTGACCTCAAAACCATAAAGCACAATTTTAATGAGAAATTCTCCTATTTGTCATTTTTCATTGTATTCAATCAAAGTAGCTAAGATTCATGGTCCATAACATTTTATCAATGTTATTTAGACTCAGAATCTAAAACACAAACTCAATGGAGACATTTTTGTGTATTCATCAGTCATAGTAATTATAGAAAAAAGTCACTAGAGTGAGTAAATTATTTTTGTGAATGATTTACTACCATTAATGTGACCTTGGAACCATGAAGCTTGAAAATATCCAAGGCATTTTCGTGCTTTACAAATGTTGTATTCTTACATAGATATTGTTTGTCAAATCCCTTCTTCCTTATATCCCAGACAACGAAACTAGTGTCAAGACTGCCAGTTGCAAATTTTGTAGAGTCTGGACTCCATGATACACAGTTTACTCGAGCTGAATGTTTTGTGCTGTCAAACATCAGCTGAAATGAAAAAAAAAACTTCACAGGTCAAATTATGTAGAATAACAATTTTTTTACATCATGCACCTAAGAATTTCTATTCTTTTATAATTTAAAATAATACTTTGAACAATAATTGTTCATACAATATAAAACTTGTTTGTAATGGAGACAAATATGTCATTCTTTTACCAAACAATCATGGCCTTTTTTCAAATTATACTGTAAAACGTTTTCCAATGCACTCAAGCCACATTTATGATTTCATAACCTACAAGTTTATGACATTGGACATGACCACATATCACATATTATAGCTTATATATAACAAGGATGCATATGCAAAGGTATGATGAGGTAGATTCACTGAATAACACCACAATCATGATAAATTTACCTGGTAATCAGGAAGTTCATAGCAGCTGACATATCGATCGTGATAAATTTAACTGGTAATCAGGAAGTTCATAGCAGCGGACATATCGATCATGATAAATTTACCTGGTAATCAGGAAGTTCATAGCAGCGGACATATCGATCGTGATAAATTTACCTGGTAATCAGGAAGTTCATAGCAGCTGACATATCGATCGTGATAAATTTACCTGGTAATCAGGAAGTTCATAGCAGCTGACATATCGATCGTGATAAATTTACCTGGTAATCAGGAAGTTCATAGCAGCGGACATATCGATCGTGATAAATTTACCTGGTAATCAGGAAGTTCATAGCAGCAGACATATCGATCGTGATAAATTTACCTGGTAATCAGGAAGTTCATAGCAGCGGACATATCGATCGTGATAAATTTAACTGGTAATCAGGAAGTTCATAGCAGCGGACATATCGATCGTGATAAATTTAACTGGTAATCAGGAAGTTCATAGCAGCGGACATATCGATCGTGATAAATTTACCTGGTAATCAGGAAGTTCATAGCAGCGGACATATCGATCAGCGCCACTTGTTGCAAGGAATTGTCCATCTGGTGAGAATTCCATATCTGTTATTTCACCGGTAGTCTTAACTTTGTTTATCTCTGACAGTGTCCCTCCACCCAGGTCATATATGTGAATGGTATTGTCCTGATAAAGAAGAAGGTATAATAGGCAGTGATGTAGAAATACTCCAGTATCTGTTTCATATTTTTCATATCACAAGGAAGATAAAGTGGTACTTAATTTAGATAGATTTCAATGAGAATTACAAACAACAAAACAGAGTTTTAATTTTTGTTACATGAATACCATTTGACTGCAAGATACGGTGTTCTTATGTCAATGTTTAAAGGTTAACAAGTTGTAGTGGAGAGTAGAACACAAACCTCAGCAGATACATCAACAGATTTTAACTACAAGTGAACTCTAGTTTTCCAGTGGTTTTTAACTGGTTACTTAAAACTACCAACTTGTAAGTGACCTCCAGTTCTCAGGTAAACATGAGCAACCATCAGCTGACTGGTTACTATAGACAGCCAACTAGTAAGTAACCTCCATTTTGCAGTTGACATTGTCAGGTTATCATTATAATAGACTACCATCACAGAGGATTACCTGCTAAGAAGTATTTCAATCAATATTTTTTTTATTTAAATATACCTTCAATCCAGCAATGGCTGCCACTGTTCCAGAGCTGTTGAGACAAACTGATTTAGGTTCATAAGGCACAGTTTGGACAAATTTCTTTTGATTTCCCTCAAACACGACAACCTGGAAAAACAATTGATTTCAAGTTACACATCATATAATTCTTTATGAACCTGGTAAACTGAATAGAGTTCTAACCAACCATTCAATGAAACATAAACCTGAACAAAAAAACTGTTGTTTATAATCAATGTTATCTTATGTTATAAAACTACCTTATTCAGAAGTACAGAATTGTCCACATTTTCTGTTCAACGTGCCATTTCAGAAGCACTCCAGTTGTGTTAATGTCATACTACTATAACATTTCAGAAGCACTCCAGTTGTGTTAATGTCATACTGCTATAACATTTCAGAAGCACTCCAGTTGTGTTAATGTCATACTACTATAACATTTCAGTACCATTTCCAGCCATTATTGTTTCCTTAGTGTTTCTGTAGCACTTACATCTACGGCTTTCCACTCAAAACGCATTAGTAAAACATTCGGCTCACTTTTACAGCACTTTTTATGAAATATCTATTTTCCTTTTCTGGTAAAAAGTGTTTCCATATTATGAGAAATTTTGTGAAATAGTAATCACACAATGTTGATGGTATTATTTTGTCAACTGTTCCCCACATCCAGACCTGTTCCTGATGTACAATGAAACAGTCATTAAATTAGCTGTAATGTATATAATTATCGGTCAGAAATAGATGGATGACTCATTCCAAGGCAGTGATCACAGAAAATCAGTGTTCATGGGGGTCTGGTACATGTTCAGCATACTGTTCAACTGAAATCTATATAATATCATCAGATGAAAACTGCAGAAGCATGAAAATTGTACGAAAAGAGCCACCTGATATGTGAGCTTCACCTATCAAATTATAAGTTGTCACACTTCCTTAGCATTTACGTCATACTACTATACCATATGTATCGCCCTACCATACTGCTTCAGTAACATTTCAGTGGTGTAAACCTAACACTAACCTGGCACTTCTCTACCTATTGCATCTAACACAGGCCTCAAATTTAAGGCTTTTTACTGGCTATTTGCAAGTAGAAATCCAAGAATTGCAAGTAGAAAATATAATGACTTGCTTTTTTCAGCAAGTGGATTCATCAGATACAAACTGTGAGTGCCTGTCTATTCCTAACATTTCACAGAATTAAATTGTTTTCAGTTTTGATTTTCAACGTGTAAATATTGGGACAAAGCAGTTCTTCTATAATGTTGATATATATTGGATGAAGCAAGGCAATACATTATAAATCACAAAACAAAACACATTATTTGAACATGGAGATTTGCAATAATAGCAAGTAAAAAGTCATTTTATCAAGTACAAATTTAAGGCACTTGCTGTTTTCAGCAACTGACAAAAAATGTTAAATTTGAGGCCTATAACATGGAACAACAAATATGTATGGATCTGTATATTACAGGTATGAAAGATAATTAACATAGCTGAAACCAAGGTTGCTTCAGTTGAAACAAACAGGTTGAACCTGCAAGAAAAACATCAGGTACAGATTGAGACTGAGGCTGGACTGCTGAATATTTGGCACATGCAGTTTGAGGGGTGTAGATGTACCTGTCCAAATCTAAATTGTCAAACATCATTAGTTTTCAGAATTTCAGAATAACGTAGGGCTGATGCACTCACATATTTCTGTAAACATTGTGCTTTAAAGTATAAATGAAATAGACAGTATCTTAATTTTAGTGAAATGTTTTATGCTTGACAGTAAATTCCAAAGTTATATATCAGGTCACACAACAGTATATGTGCTTTCATGTACAATGGAATAATTCTAGACCACCTTTACCATTTCAGTACCAGGTTACGCGAAAGTGGCCATAGTGTACATCTTTTGGTCTACAACACTGTACACAACACAAATTAACGACTTTCAATATACTGTATACAAGGTAACATTTGTCCAGGCTTTTTCCAACCTTGGATTTTCTTAATTTTTTTTTTTATTTCTTTTTTTTTTTTTTTGCATATTGTTAAATCTAAATCGATAGTCCTTAAATATACATGTACTCATTACAACTGTAAACATCAAACATTCGCACGTAAAGGGATATACAAGAGAAATCTTACTAGTGATAAAAGTTTCAACAGTTTTATTAAACAGAATTTTTTTTTAATTGCAATAAAGGTGTCAGTCATGTACATAGAAAAAACTCATCAATTTATCAATAACCAGAAGTGTAACAGGGTCATTTCATCTAACATCATAGCTTTTCATCTCAGCTAAACATAAAAAACATCTGCCTTTACAGTGAAATGTATGTCAATGTTATTTCAGTTAAACAAAAAGTAAAGTTTCTTGTGACCTACAAGCTACAAAATATATACAAATATTTCAGATATCATCTTTGAACTTAAGAGATGTTAAACTACATGGGACTTCAGGAGTCTGGAAAAATATTTTAAACCACTAGGCACAGGACTAGTGGGCTGAAAAATTTACTTGTCCAGATTGCAAATTTACTCGTCCAAATTCAGCTATGAAATAGCGACTTAATCAGCGAGGATGTGACATGTGACTTTTTTTCTATTTTTATTTAAGTTTAAGTGAAAAAACTATGCAGTGATGGCTGCTTTGCGTCAGACATTATGCACGACTTAGGCCTAGCCGTAGTGTTTGTTTACATCTGACTGACTAGGTGCTGCTAAATACAGACAGGTACATGTTGGTACTGCCCAAGAGCACCTGACATCAGTATGACTGCGGGAAAATGACTAATGCTATATCTGACATCAAGGGAGTTCCGGTATAATCAAAAGTTAGAGTGCAGACTGGAAAATTTCGTTTTCGAAGTACCCTAAACATGTTTCTTTGTTCTAATTTTTCTTTAGATTTTTATTGAAATTTAAGTTGTAACATTAATATCATTGGTAAAATGTACTCGTGCGATTGACGACTGACAAGGATAAATCTGGTTGTCCGAGACAATTTTCAATCGTCCATGACGACAGGACGAGTGCTTTTCCGGACCCCTGGACTTAGATGTATGTAAATAAATGGAAAGAAATGTCAAACACTTTAATACAATTCTCCCTTCACTCATGATGACAGACATAAATATAAATGAGAATAACTTTGAAATCACTCACCTCTCCTAAACACGCCACAACTGTTGTCCCTGACTTTGTGTCTGTAGCCTGAGGTTGAGAACCTAACTTTATAAACTCAGACCTGAAAAGTATGAAATTATGTACACATGAAAATAAATATATAGAGTTGTACAGAAACAGACAGTTGTTTTATATATTAGATATGTCAGAAGTGTATTCCTTAATGTAGAGGGTGAATAGATAAAGTGGTAATAGTTTCACAATACAATGTATTGGAGAAGTGTTCTTATCAACACATTCTATCTGGTACATGTATAATGAAAATGGATAGGAACACATTCTATCTGGTTCATGTATAATGAAAATGTATAGGAACACATTCTCCCTGGTACATGTATAATGAAAATGGATAGGAACACATTCTATCTGGTACATGTATAATGAAAATGTATAGGAACACATTCTATCTGGTACATGTATAATGAAAATGGATAGGAACACATTCTATCTGGTACATGTATAATGAAAATGTATAGGAACACATTCTATCTGGTACATGTATAATGAAAATGGATAGGAACACATTCTATCTGGTACATGTATAATGAAAATGGATAGGAACACATTCTATCTGGTACATGTATAATGAAAATGGATAGGAACACATTCTATCTGGTACATGTATAATGAAAATAGATAGGAACACATTCTATCTGGTACATGTATAATGAAAATGTATAGGAACACATTCTATCTGGTATATGTATAATGAAAATGGATAGGAACACATTCTATCTGGTACATGTATAATGAAAATGTATAGGAACACATTCTCCCTGGTACATGTATAATGAAAATGGATAGGAACACATTCTATCTGGTACATGTATAATGAAAATGTATAGGAACACATTCTATCTGGTACATGTATAATGAAAATGGATAGGAACACATTCTATCTGGTACATGTATAATGAAAATGTATAGGAACACATTCTCCCTGGTACATATATAATGAAAATGTATAGGAACACATTCTATCTGGTACATGTATAATGAAAATGTATAGGAAAACATTCTATCTGGTACATGTATAATGAAAATGTATAGGAACACATTCTATCTGGTACATGTATAATGAAAATGGATAGGAACACATTCTATCTGGTACATGTATAATGAAAAGATTTTATTAGAACATTCTATTTGGCAGAAGGATAATTGACACATGTTTATTGTGTTCACTGCGTCTGTTGTATATCAATTGTTTACTTAAGTTTTTGCCTCTGTTACATAACTACTGTATTGTTTTTGTATTAACTGTATCTGTCAGACAACACCTGTTCATTGTGTTCACTGCATCTGTCAGACAACACCTGTTCATTGTGTTAACTGTATCTGTCAGACAACACCTGTTCATTGTGTTCAATTCATCTGTCAGACAACACCTGTTCATTGTATTAACTGCATCTGTCAGACAACACCTGTTCATTGTGTTAACTGCATCTGTCAGACAACACCTGTTCATTGTGTTAACTGCATCTGTCAGACAACACCTGTTCATTGTGTTTACTGTATCTGTCAGACAACACCTGTTCATTGTGTTAACTGTATCTGTCAGACATCACCTGTTCATTGTGTTAACTGTATCTGTCAGACATGACCTGTTTACTGTATTCAATGTACCGTTTGGACAAAACTTGATTTTTGTGTTAACTGTATCTGTCAGACACCTGTTCATTGTGTTAACTGTATCTGTCAGACATCACCTGTTCATTGTGTTAACTGTATCTGTCAGACATGACCTGTTTACTGTATTCAATGTACCGTTTGGACAAAACTTGATTTTTGTGTTAACTGTATCTGTCAGACACCTGTTCATTGTGTTAAATGCATCTGTCAGACAACACCTGTTCATTGTGTTAACTCTATCTGTCAGACAACACCTGTTCATTGTGTTAACTGTATCTGTCAGACAACACCTGTTCATTGTGTTAACTGTATCTGTCAGACAACACCTGTTCATTGTGTTAACTCTATCTGTCAGACAACACCGGTTTGTTGTGTTAACTGTATCTGTCAGACAACACCTGTTCATTGTGTTAACTGTATCTGTCAGACAACACCTGTTTACTGTATTCAATGTACCTTTTGGACAACACTTGGTTATTGTGTTCACAATGTATATAATCATCATGTAACAGTTTATAATATAATGTATACCTGAGAAACTTATAATGACACTAGAGAGGGGGTACTTTTTAATATTGGGTGTTGATGCTGCAATAAGACCATGGTGACCAAATCATAACCTCTGTAGCATAGTTGGAGGGGAAGAGGACAGGTGCTCAGCTTATCACAGGAAAATGATAAACAGTTGCTGGAATATCTTCTGAAACTCCAATAGATGTGGGTGGGCTTATTATCAGACATATTGCCACATAATTACAGTAGTGTATATATAAATGTGCTATAAAGTATACCTACGGGTATTGTTTACTCTCAGTGTTACTAAATATGACACAATCATCCATTCCCACTGAGACCATAGTGTCTTCAGATATCCTCATGTCCATGACCTTGTTACTGTGACCTTTGCCAATCATCTCTCCATCCTCAAAAGTGTCAGTTCTCATATAGTGTTGGTTGTGTTAAGGAAATTTATTGAAAAGTCCACAGTTTATTCCTAGCTTATGGTTTCCAATTCTTTTTTACCACTGTTTTTACCATTTGTAAGAAATAGAAAACAAATGACTTTTCTCCATCAGTGTATCTGATTGGTCCTCTGCAGCAGTTTCTGGAAATGTTACGACTGATTGCTTTTCCAAAGCTGGTCTTACCTACATTTAAATTATCTGTAAACATGTGGTTTAGTTCTACAGTAAAGCAATATTTCACAAGATATATCAACATCTATCAGCAAATTGATCAAAGTCAAATTCAGACAAATCTTACTTAACATCAGTCTCAAGTTAAATAAAGGATATTGATATGTCCATCCGAGCTGCCGGAGAATACAGTACTCTTATCTTCTGACAGGCACATGGCTGTCACGGCTTTGTTAGTTCCCTGAAATAGATTACAAAATCTGTTATTTAAAATAATTCCTTTTTTGTCATTTTGTATCTGGTAAGTATAGATAATTAATTTTACACAAATGACATAAAATTCTGACAAGGAACAAAGATGCTGATCATGTGTTTCACTGGTATCAATCTAGTGGTTCAGAATTACTACATCAAGACAAAGGGCTCATAAGGCATATACTAAACGATAAATCAAAATAACATTAAATAATTCGGCTTCATTCATATAATATATGTCAAACTTGATGGAAGGAGAAAGAATACATGTCTTCAGTTACATCCTTAATAACAAGAGTTATCACCCCTGTCAATATTAACAAAAATTATCACCCGTCAAATTAAAAAGATATCATGCAATAGCATGAACCTGTACCTGTATGAAACATCACTGTTATTTACCTTGATGATCTGACGGGGCTTGTCAGGGTTGTTAATGTCCAGGTAGTTGATGTAGCCAGAGAGGGAAATACTGATGAGGTAATCGTCTTGCCATAGACAGCCCACCTGCATATCATTTACTTGGGTTCCCATGTTAAATGTTCTGAAATAGCAGGAAAACAGGATATTCATCAGCACATCTTAATCTTGAATCATAAGTCTTTGTTGATATACATCATACTGGTAATCACCAGCATAACACAAGAACGAGTATACACTGAGGTTTAAAAAAATGCCAGCACTTTGGGACAGAATTAGCTCATTGTATGTAATAAATACTTTTTGAAAATGTATATTCAATTAAGAATCTCACTCACACAGAAATAAAGCTAAACACAATACTCAATGAAAATTTTCTGCATGTATCATTAGTTTGGACTACAAAATCGTTAAATTGAAAATAACTGAAATTTGAAATACTTCGGTAGGTTTATGTGCTATTCAATACCAGAAAAGCTACAAGGTTAAAAAGGAAGAAAAAAAATCACAACGTGTTGACTGATAAATATTTTAACAATTCCAACAAAAGTAGAACAAATAGAAAGGGTAACCGATGACAGTTATTCGTCCACACAAAAAAAAAACCCAAAAAAAGCACACTGCTGAATCAACTATAAAACCATTCAGGTAGTGCAGAATAACCCAGGAGTCAGGGCTCTCACACCCCATTTTGGGACTGGGGCCCAGGGCCCTTAGAATTGGGAAAAATAATGGTGTTTTCCTTAGAATTGGGAAAACTTGGGGTCTAAATTGGGAAAAAAGATACTATTTTGCGTTGGGAATGGGGTCGAATATCGGCCTCCAAATCTGGCAGATCAAGAGCCCTGGGAGTTCACGCTGAAACCTGCTTGATGCTAGAAAAAAAAACATAATACATACTAGAAACAAGATGAAAGTTATATTCAGATTGCCACATCACAAACTTACGTCTCACAAGTGGTTGTCTCCACGTCCCAGATCTTACATGTCTTGTCACCGGAACAGGTCAACACTTTTTTACCATCAATATTGAAGCTCAGCTGTCAAGTCAAGAAAAAATCCCTTAGGTACATGTCGCAAACCAAAAGTCATAAAGTCACAACATATCATCAATATAATTATGTTGCTTGTAACAAAATATGTATAAAAGCAATTTATTTAAAGTTTTTGTTCATTGTGTTTAATGCCCTTTGGTTAGGCGGACTCTCCTTATAGTGACCAGTGCTTACCTCACTACATAACAAAGGAGAGGTCTCTTAAGTGCCATGCAGTGCACAGTGTCTCACCCAAGGATCCAACTAAATTCGCCCAAACCAGTACATTTCTTAACTTCCTGAGAAACACAAACTACCACATATAAGGAGAGTCGAACCACATAACTCAGACCTTCATCTGAGGTTATTTAGTCCAATGGTCTACAATCAACTACTACCAACCTCGCCCACCTACCCCTACCCACATCTCACCTATTTAATATTGTGTTATTGGAAAGTACTAAATTATACATATGTCTTATAATAGGTTAAACCATAGACATCTGTATTTAATGGCAAGCATATTCTAAAAACCTGATGTATTTGAAACACAATCATCTTGTGTTTGACAATTTTATACCTACAGCATAGATACCCCCGCTGTGAGCTGGATCTCCAAGTTGTCCAATTTTGTCCCCAGTCTTCCCATCATAGACAAAAGCCTGTGAAAAAGAGTAAAGGTCACATTTATAAAAAAAGAAAGGGAAAGAAAACTGACAGTAAAGTATGCTGCCTAGACCCATCAACATTTCATCAATCAAGTGTTCTGTTTGAATACTTCAAGAACAGATTGACCAAAAAATAAATAAAATCATTCATCCCCATTAGGGTTAGATAGGGATATCTCAACACAAGGGGGAAGATTACTGAGTTGTCTTTCCCTGAGGGTTGAGATCCCCTATCTCACTCTATATATGATCATTTTTCTCTTACCCTGTTTTCTTGTCCGCGTGCAACATGAAGCATATTGTGTGTAAACAAAAACACCTGGACAATGTATGATCAGTGCCTGTCTCAGACATTTCAAACATTGTGATTTAATCTTACACAAACCATGATTATAGTGTGCATGCCAATAAAACATTAAATAAAACTATACACTTGATATATCTATATATCTATATATTTATGTTAGGATGATCACAGGATTTTAAGTCTCTTCAATTGTTTTCAAAATGTGCAAAGTGCATGTGTAACTTGTCTCAACCCTAGGGTGAGACAAGCAAATCTCACACCGTGAAAGAGGCCTGGATTTACCTGTTCAAGGTAAGAAAAGTACAAAATCCTTTGAGCTGTATGTTCCAGACCAATTCATAGAAAAGAACACAGCATTGTCTCTGCAGCATTTGTTGGCTAGCTTATATTGAGAAATTTGTTAACAATCATTCTAAAAAGAATTTCATTCAGTCCAAAAATGACAACTGGTACTGAACTGGTGATATCAGATTATTCTATCACACCAGCAAACTCAAGGACACACAACAGTGTGTGCTGGACAAAACAAGTATGAAAAATCTTGAATAATGTTGTCAGATTAGTGATACAGTTTTAAACATGATGTTCATTATAACCAATATCTGTATCCAATGTCAGTTAGACCAAAATATTAGTTAAATTTTACAAGTGGAGAGGTTAGATCTGTAAATATATATACTGTAAATTCATAACATAAGTTACTGATTCATTAGTGACTAATAACATGGGTGTTATTTCTTTATATATTCAATCAATTTCTTACAACTTATCAACTGATATAATTGTAGTCCATGCCATAACATCTGCAAATCATGTTGTTTACCTGCTTGTCTGCTCCTCCACTGATGAAAACTTCACCTTTAGGGGCGTATCTCAAGGCGTTTACAAATGCTGTGTGCTGAAAACATGAAAATATTACAGCTAACAGTCAGAATTTGATAATATAGATTATTACTTTCTACAAACTAAGGATGCCACACTAAGATTGGATTACCCTATCGCCGGTTTACCATCCATGAATTCTGTCCGACAGATAGACGAGATCTAGATCAGGATCAGTTTGATTTAATGCAAAGCTTCCTTCTAGTTTTAACTAATATTAAGTTCAAATACATATCATTTTCAGTGATCAATCTAGAATTATTTCATTGAGTCAGTGTAAAACATAAGTATTTACAGAAATTGTTTGAGTCCCACCAAAATTATATGAGTACAAGACTCAGGACTCACATGTAGATTTATTACTGTATTTTTGGCATTTGTTTCAGCTGATGGTATATAAAAATAATACAAACATCAGCAATAGTTTTCTTGAATTTGAATGGCGGTCCTTCAAAAAACACCATGGAGTAGTCCTCACTACAGGTCACCAGGCGATAAGGTCGCTGGGGTCGTATAGATAAACTGTTGATAGCCTTAGTGTGACCAACGACTTCTCCCACAGAAGATCCAGAGTCTACTAGGAATGCATGGCCATACCTGGAATATCAAGGTACACATCCTGTATCAATACACAGAGTTTATCTAGACTTTCTGTGAAGAAATATGTCAAACACCACGGAACATACCACTCAACACATCAAATGATTCATTTATTGTCACTTGATAACTATATTGTATCAGCATCTACCAAGAAAGTCCATTTAAGTATAAAAGAGAAATAGAATCTTTCACTTCTGTGCAATGGAGACAGAGATTACTTGACTTGAACAGTTACAGGTGAAGTATGTCATTTTGAGTCTCAAATTTTTTATACCTTCTTAACATTGTCAATGTTGTCTGTCTTCGTGACAAAGAGGAAACTGATTTTTTTTTTTCTTCAACACATTTTAATCATTAATTATGGCTAATTGTTTTCGTGTCATCAGTTTTCAAAAGTCTATGATTTAGCAACAGAAACTGAGCCAAAAGTTACTTTCATATCATATCTTATGTCAACACTAAACAAAAAATTGCTGTACACCTTGTCAGCATTTCATGAATTGGATAATTAGAATTTAATGCATTTATTTATGTTGTACATTAAGTTACGATCAGATATACAGTGATTTAGTATTTGATGATCAACAGAAGTTTTATACCTTCAGTAACAATATCCCAATGTTCTATGTTTATCTAGTCACTGTCAATAAACATTACAAATACAAAATGTATAATCATGATGTATACGTTATCAAGATTGTTTTGTGCAACTTGTGTGAGGATTTTGCTGACAATAATGACAATGCTGAAGAATGTGGATGAATCAAACCAAAAATTAACCTATATATTCAAGTAAAATAATTTTTAATACTGAATGAATTAATGCAAACACAAATTGTCATTAACACTACTTATTACACAATAATAGGCCCTGAATCTGTCATGATACAGTAGATGACCTTTAAATTGAACTCTACTTACTTGCCCTTACCCTGCCCGCCTACAGCCATCCTCTTGCTCTCACCGTCCCAAGTGATATCGTTGATCTTACCAACAATTGGTTGATACTCATACTTGGTGAGGTGCTCCTTGTTGACAGTGTCCCAAATCAAGACTTTACCTGATGTATCTACACAGATACAAAATAATCATATACCAACAGATCTTAACTTCACCTGACGTGTCTAGACAAATACAAAATAATTTTTCCAGAGGTGTCTACACAGATACAAAATAATTTTTACTGACGTGTCTACAGATACAAAATAATTTTTTCTGACTTGTCTAGACAGATATAAAACATTTTCCATAGAGGTGACAACACAGATATAAAATAATTTTTCCTGAAGTGTCTAGAAAGATATAAAATATTTTCCCCACAGGTGTCTACACAGATACAAAATGATTTTTCCTGAAGTGTCCAAAAAGATATAAAATATTTTCCCCAGAGGTGTCTACACTGATACAAAATGATTTTTCTGGGGTGTCTAGACAGATACAAAATGATTTTTCAGAGGTGACTACACAGATACAAAATAATTTTTCCAGACGTGTCTAACCAGATACAAAATAATTTTTCCTGATGTGTCTACACAGATGCAAAATAATTTTTTACTGATGTGTCTACACAGATTCAGAACTTATAATGATATATAAGTTCTTGATCTTCCCAATGTTAATATATACTTTTGAAAGAATTCCATGCCCATCTTTCAGAAATTGTTTATTATACATTACCTACATGTATAAATATATCTTTTGATATAAAGCAACACATTGATCAATATTTGTATAAGTTAAATTACTATGAACTATCAAACTATACTAACCACCAGAGGCGATGTAGAATCCTGATGGAGACCACTGAGCTACAGTGGCAGGAGTGGAGTGTTTTGTGATGATCTCTGCATCCATGTAGGGATTCTGTAATCGATCAAGTTGATTCCCTGTCATGTTTAATTTTCTCCACAATTAAATTTCGCCATATAAGTATTTCTGTTATACCTTTATAAATCCATTAAGAGTAGGTAACAGAAGATGAAATGTAGACGAGGATAAAAAAAAATGAAGAATAGTAAAGGGCAGGGCTATTGTGACCTCCACTTGCTCTTTATACTGAACCATAAATGCATCTATTCTGATAAGAAACCCACAGTGCATTGGACACTGGTCCAGTGTTACCCTTTACTAATCTTGACCAAACAGCTGACTGACATTTGTACATGAAAGTAGTTGTGTCACTATATTTGAATTATTGAAATAATGGTAAAGCCTTATCCTTACATTGTTCCAAATAATAAGATAAGGGAGATAACTCTCTCATCAGTAAATGACAGTAAATACAGTGCATTCAGTAGACTTTTGAGAGGTTATTTTTTACTGCAAAAAAAAAGTTAAATTTGACCATTTCTCATATCTTTTTACTACCGTATTTTGACAAGTAAATTTGACTTTTGAAACTGCCAAATATCAAGCTTAGTTCAACTCAAACAAATATTCCAATTTCACAATCCAGATGACCGTATAAAATGTGTGGATATAGCTGTTAACAGGTGTGAAGCAGATACAGATGTAGCATTGACATCACCATGTTCTCTAATCTGATACAAACCCTTTATTGAAAACTAGGGTGTTACCACATGAAATGTGCGAATTCACAGTTCATGAATGAAGTTGTACACAACAAAATACAAAAACAAGAGGCCCTAGGGTCATAACAGTCACCCGACTCACAATCCTACTTGTAACATGTCATAGAAATGATTTTGTTACAGAAAGTAATATAACTTTAACTCTATTGTACCTATAATGCAAAAGTAAATTATATATACATTAACTAATGTCCGATGCTAAGGCTTCTAACCAAGTTTGAATTAAAAGGAATTACACTCAAGGTTTGAATTTTCCTGTTTTAAATCTTCCATTCAGGCACATCTTTGAAGTTTCAGTCAATTTGACTCACTTTTGGTGATTGGTGATTTTCCTATATAAACTATAGTAAACTTTACCCCCTTCCCTGAGGGAAAGGCAAGACCTTGGGTTATGTAATTTACAATTTTGGTAAAGCATCTGAAGGTCTTTCCAGCCATGAAGAGTACCATACTTGATTCTATCATATGTGGAATTTCAGAAGAAGATTTTAGAAGTTTCAATCATTTTGAACCTTTTTGGCCAGCCCCTCTGGCCCCTGAGTTTTGGGGACCATATAATTTAGATTTTTGGTGTGCTTGAGCCATGAAAGAAGAATTTTGTAAAATTTCATTGAAATTGGTTCAGGAGTTTCCAGAAGAAGCTGAAAATATTTAAAGTTTACAACAGACGACAAAAGGGGATCGCAATAACAGCAAAGAAAATGAAGGGTAGATCTTGTGGTTGACAAGTGCATTGATGTAGAGTTTATACCAGAAATCCCCCATAAATTATACTGTGCTATGAAGTATTATCAATGGAAACATGGGAAGGAGTTATGTTATAAGTTATATCATAAGGAATCAAAACTAGCATTATCATTGGTCTGGTCTTAAATCTAAGGAATTCAGTGTCACATTTTTATTTTTATTAAAATAATGTTATACTGCCACACAAAGCCACTATTCATCAAAATTTTGAAAATCCTCTTTAAGTAATGTGACAAGTAGTTTGTAATTTTATTATTATTTTTTTTTTTTTTGTCTTATGAGTCAAGCACAACATTTCCAGAATTTTAATGAGCCCACTTACAAAGAGATATAGTTCTCAAAATGGGCTTCCACAGGAACAGCATGAGTGCAGCTCTAACATATTTCAGTACCAAAAATTAGAGGAGACTATCAAAAACTTTAAAAATTGTAATCTTAAAAAATCAACAAAAACAAAAATTATGAAATATGTATTGACAGGACTCCCTCAGAATTGTTTGTTTTCGTGATATACAAGACAGTAGTACAAAAAAGACTCTGGATGCTTCCGAATAAATGTTGGTATTACTTATGAAATGTGGGAGAAAATTAAGTATTGTAAAAAAATCTTTCCCATCTTATCTCCACTTACTGCCAGGTCACGCAATATGACATTGTTGCCATTTGTGTAGAGAAACTTGTGCTTGCCCTGTGGACATCCTCCTAAAATGATGGGTACTCCTCTTGTTGTCCGAGGCAAGGAGGCAAAGATGCTGTCCGCTAAAACAAAAATTGGGCAATATAATGACTTGACTACAAATTAAACGGTGTCTATAGTATTAAGTATATCTCAATGTTGGATTCATTGTTAGAGATATATTTTTTATAGTCTTTAGTAAACTTTTATCATTATCTCACAATCTCTCTTGATAGCTGGGATGAAAGAGAACAGTCTACAATGGCCTTAATGTGAGAGGATTTTTAACTAAGCAATGCTAATGAATCATAAAACTAACTCCCAAGATCGCTAAGCCCTGTTGCAATAGGAAATAACAGTATCAAATTTCATAAGAGATCAAATCATGATGATGCAAGTTCCTGTTGTCTCCTGCAGACAGCAAGAGCTATACAATCTCTTTCCTTTCATTGGGATCTTCATTTTGTTCCCCCCTGGTTTCTACACTACCTATTTGCGTAACCCGGATAAAATACTAGCATGTATAGAGAGAACTTCTCTTTAACTCATTTGCTTGAACATAAGACTATTAAGCCAAAGCTCCCAGTGTCAAATCCTAGCAGACATCAAAATAGATAATGATCTCTGTTACATTTGGGTGGACAGATGCCTGACAAGATATTTCTGTCAAAATGACATCTGGTGTGGTACCTTGAACCAAAGGAAACTGTGGCTACTTCAAATCTTGTCCTATTACACATGTCTCTGAATGTTCGTATGTTGATCTTTAATGTTAAAAGTCATTTATTAAATATCTATTGTCAAACCTTGAAGTCATATTGATACTTTCTAAAAACATGGAACAAATATCAAGATATCGGAAATGGATGGTATGGTGGGTTTGTTCTGTGTAATTAACATTTAGATTTATTAAGCATTTTAAAAAGTTATTATTTTGCTTTTGTTCATATGTAACCATTCAATCCATTTCAAATAAATCCCCTGTAAACAAGAGTGTCAATAAACTCCCATTATGTTTGAAAATCAAGGTTGGTGGCACGTTTTACAGAGTACATTGGCTGAAATCATTTGGTTGAAATAACAAGCTTAACGCAAGGTTTCATTTTAAAACACATTACCAGCTGCTTTTCGTGCACTTTACCTACTCTGAAATTGGATATGACCTAGTGATACACTTGTTTGAAGGACCTACTGCTGAAAAAAAAAATGTAAAAACAGTTCATTTTCTATCATAAATGTTAGTAGTTTTATTTTATTCTTTTGTTTCTCGTCTACAATTAGGTAAACTTGAAATATAGGTCACAAACACTTTACCTGCTCTGTGTTTATAACAAGTATTACACATGATTTTGTGGTATCGACAATAACTATGATATTGATTTAAAATCACTTAATGAGTATTCAAAGGCATATATCCTAAGCCTACTGTAAATTCAGCTCTTCACTTATCAATAAACTTAAAGGTCACAAGCAATGAAAATAAATGAAAAATCATCAGATAATGTCTTTAAAAAGTGATTGGTGTATTGCACGATGTTAAAGTAGCACAATTTCTACCTGTAAATGCCCAAGGAAGTTAAAATACCTAGAGTTATTTCCCTTTTGAAAATTAAGGACATTAGTCATTCATTTCTGAGTTCAATTCCGCAACCAGACACATATTCAACAGTAGTGTTTATGGAGACAATATACATTGAATCAGCCATATTTGATGAAATAAGCATGTTCAGCATCATAACACAACAAAGAAGTAAAGTTTGTTATTAGACCATAACACTTTGAGTCTTGAAGTAGCTAAACAATGTCCAGTAATGATAATTTGGGCGATGAATCATATATTGGCTTGGCCGACAGCTGCAAAATTATAGGCATACAGTATTTTGATGAATGGTAAGGCAAATTTAACTTATTTCAACTTCTATTTGTTCACTGTATATATAAGTTTACATATAAGTGACAACTTTCCTGTCGCTCAAGACAATATCATTCTATATAAATTTGTTTGTCTTGCAATATTCATCGTGTACTCACTTTAGAGTTTTTACATTTTTTCAGATTTTGTTTCAAAAAGAAATTTTTTCAGATTTTTCAAAAGTTTTATAAATCAAGACCAATTATAAAACTACCATATTACATGCGACTCCAAATGTCACTACTGTCTGGCAAAATTGGCGATTTTGAGTGCCGAAGATTTCTGAAAGTTACCTAACAAAGCTAAAGTACGGAAAGGCGCTCTCAGCTTCAACCATATCAAGAAGCGAAAATTGATTAAGGGTACTAACTAGGTGTTGTCTATGTCAGAATATAGATATCTACAAAATATTATTGCCGATGAACCTTTTCAACAATTGGAGAAATTTACATCTGATACGTCTGTGTTTACATGGTGTATGTAGTAGTAACAAATGATGACATGGCACAGTTTTTACATATATAGATTAGACACTTATCTAGGAAGCCAAGCATAGCCGTTCCTGTGTAAAAACCTTGGGACTGAATATATTTGATCATCTCACCGTCACAGAATGCGGGTGTGGGCGGGTCCGCGAGTAACCCAAATACTATTCAGTATGTCGCACATTGAAGCACAATCAAAACAAGTGGAGTTAATTGAGAATTGTGTGATGCTAGAATATCTAATGATGTGAAAAAATGCCCATGCATCTGATGAATCTCTGCATCAGCAATATCAAAATCACTGTCACTTCCGGATTAAGGAAAGTATGAACACAAGTTCAGAAGTTTTGGTTGGGGCTCATTTCCTGAAACTTATTTCTTATAATCTGATGCGTCGCATCGTCAGTAGCGACCTTCGACTCGTGTTGTTTCTTTGATACTGATGAACCTCCTTGGCAGAATGCATGTTGTAAGCGGAAACTTACCAACAGGATTCTTTACAGTCGACATTCTGATATGTTAGCTTCCCTCACCTCACCGCTTAAACACGGAAGTGAGTAATCGGAAGTGAACCCAGCGCATGTCCGTAAACCCTTCAGGCCATATTTGGCATTATCTTCATCAGTGTAGTAAGCATGTCGAGATATGGGTGTAAGATTCATGTAACGGTATCTAAAAGTCATTGATATTTTTGGAATTGACATGTGGAACAAAATATTTTGTTTTGTTTAAGTAATCAGAATTACACGAACGTACGTTCACAGATCTAATGTATATTATCAATCGTCTCAAAGGATCACTGACGAGTCAGAGAAGGACAAAACAGCTGTATTATGCAGTTTTATTATTCACCCATGTGGCATATATACGATGAAAATGAACGAGCATTATTCACAAAGCTTATGTGTGCGTACATGTAGACAACGAGCTTAATTCCTAAACCTGAGACTAGGAACACTGTTATATACCCAACTTAGTAATTTTACGTCCCTGACTAACATCATTAGTGCATAGTTTAGAAGTAGCTATATCTAAATACTTATCAAATTGAATTGTGAAAAACATTACATTTATACGCATTTAGATGGTTTGAAATTCGCGAACAATAGATATTCAAATGAGTGAAGCAAAGAGGTGATACAGTTAGAGATTAATTAGATATAAGATACACAGTAGAAACATACAAGTATACACTGAATATATATATGGGGGGAGGGGGCGGGGGGGGGGGGGGGGTTATGGTTTGTGTGGGTGGGTGGATGGGTGTAGGTGTGGGTGTGTATGTGTGTGCGTGCGTGCGTGCATGCTTTGATATATCGATAGTAATTAGAACTATGTTAGTGTTGTGTTTTATCTGATGAAGGTGACAGTATAGTCTGCGAAACGCCACACGCTAATAATTGTTCGAACTGAAAGTATCATCCTGGTAAATTGCTGTTTTCTATTTTAATATTTCATTTTAATTAGTATTATATTATTCAGTACTTATCACGGAACCGTAGGGTTTTGCATCATGTATGACAGCTTTTTTTTACATTGTGTATGGTTTCTTCTGTAATATTTCCTATATAGTTTCTTATTCTACAATCTGAATGAATGCATCTTAAATAGGCTACAGGCTTTGTTTCTATTAGTCTTTATGTTTCCCTGTTTTACAGTCCGTATAATTTCCTATTTTTCACCATGTATAAATCCCTGTTCTACAGGCTGTATTATGTCCTATATTATTTCATATGGATGTGAGCAAGTGCGTCTCCACATAGCTATATCTTCATCATACCCCAAGGATACTTTCATTAATAGAACGACGTGGGTTTTTACTACAATAATCACGAGGCATAATTTTGCTCATGTGTGGATGTAGCTCTTATTGTGATCATTATTACATTAAGATTAATATTGTTGTAATATAATTTTGTGTTACAATAAGGATAGTTTTAATGAAATAAATTATTAAAAGAAGCGATTTATTATTACAAGTGTTTCAACACTTCGTGGACATTTTCCTATTTAATTTCCTCTTGAATAGCTTGTGAAACATCTACAAATTGATCATTGATATTTGACAGTCTGTGTGATTACAGATTGAATAATACAATCTCCATGAATCTAACAACGTTCCTAGTCCCTCTAATGTAAACAAGCCTCTTTATTTTGCAAATTCGATCCACTGGTGAAGTTGACAAGATCACGTTTAGTCGAGTTCACAGAAATATCCCACACATTAATTGACTACATTCTATTAATAGCACGTTCCAAACACACAATAAAACGCCTTTTCAATAGTGTTTGAAAGGTACCTGTAGAGCTTTGATGAAATTTACTTTGAACTGTAATGTAGGTAATAATATATTTGTTGTTGTCTACAGAGAAATTAAAATCCTAGTAGGTTTATTCAAACACTGACGTGCATTACAGCTAGAGAACCTTTCAACGCTACTCAATAGATAGTGACGTTCATATGGTAAGTGTACTGAGATTTGTCAGTTTTCTACTTTATATCAGGTGCCTGCTTATTGTTTTATTTGACTTTTGTATGGTATGAATGTAGCAAGGGAGATCTCAGTGAGTGAAACTATTGCATGTTAATGTAACACTTCATTTTGAAAGGAGGATAACTTTTTCAAAGAAAGAAAGAAAGGAAGAAATGTGTCACAACTAAACAAATTAAAGCATCAAGGACACAACCTTAATTTGGGTCTATATTCAGATACACGCATTCAACTTTGTTAAGAAAACATTGCCTTTTTTAGGACAACAGAACAAATGATGATATGCAAAATCAAAACCTGTCCTTTATACTGGGACAACTTGCTATTACACAAATAGCTTCCTGACAGGATGAAGTAGTCTATATATATTGGGTGTCGTGTCGGACCTTAACGTCACCATTTAGGAGTCGGTCATATTTGGCACTTTAGCAGATCGATAAAACTTCAAAATACTTGTTGTTATACAGAATTACATTACGACCATGGGATAAAACACTAGTGTCACGTCAACATTTCTAGCCATACAGGTAGGTTAAATCTTATAAAATGAATATGAGAGTATTTTATAGTCGTACAGGTGAGTATGTATATAGTCGTACATGTGAGTATATATTTAGTCGTACAGGTGAGTATGTATATAGTCGTACAGGTGAGTATGTTTATAGTCGTACAGGTGAGTATGTTTATAGTCGTACAGGTGAGTAGGTATGTAGTCGTACAGGTGAGTATGTTTATAGTCGGACAGGTGAGTATGTATATAGTCGTACAGGTGAGTATGTTTATAGTCGTACAGTTGAGTATGTAGGTAGTCGTACAGGTGAGTATGTTTATAGTCGGACAGGTGAGTATGTATATAGTCGTACAGGTGAGTATGTTTATAGTCGTACAGGTGAGTATGTTTATAGTCGGACAGGTGAGTATGTATATAGCCGTACAGGTGAGTATGTTCATACTTTATAGCAAATTGGGTGAATAGATATGTAGCCTTACTGATAAATACATGTATATTTATGTTTGCTACAAAAACAACATTTATGTCGGAGCCTTATAATGTTTAAACATTAATGACGAAATGACTGCCCTGCTATATAAAAAGCGGGTTTTCATTTACTGTGTTACTGACCTCGATAGGATATAGAAAGCACTGATATTTCATATCAATGCTGATGTTCAATCGGTCTTTCAAATGTCTCTTTTCAATAGAACCTATACTCCAAGCTAAATATTGTCACGGTGGTGGTATGGAAATAGGTATTGAGGAAGTTCGGTGGAGTGTGTACTTGGCCAAAAAGATTGATTTAAAAGTCAATTGAAAAAAAAAACTCGGAAAATGTGACGTCATATAAACATCCATGTCAACCGAAGACCTGAGTTTATAGGTATATAGTACGATGTAGGATATGACTTTTCATATGTCTTATCAACCTTAAAGCCAGAGAGGATTCAACAGGTAAGTATGTCGATTTTATTGGAATATATTACTTCTGTTTTATTTACGTCAATCTGTAACTATAAACTTGTTAAAATTAATCAAGTTTCACGCGAGGACTATTGAAAACTTTTTAAGTTAGTATTTATATATTCCACACCGTTGATTTTGATATGAGTGGATTGTTATAGTCACATGTACTAGTATAGCAATCCACCTGGTGTATTTTGTATACATGAGTACACTTATACATGTTATAGGTTCACCTGTGTAACAAGTGTAAGCAGCATGTGTGTACATATGTGAACGTAAATGTTTATCTTTGTAAGCTAATTATGAAATTTAGTATAGAAATCGAACTATTGCAATGCCTTGTATTTTGAAAGCGTACGGTTCCATACATCCAAACTATTGTTACATGTTTGTAAACATTAGGAGCGATTGTTTCATCTCATAGCTGATCGTCTAATTCTTTATATCACAACCAAATATCCAAACAGTTTGTTACAGAGGGCAAGTTATCTCCATGTTTTTAGTGTCATAAAACACCAACAGATTTATTAAACGACAATTCGAATAAATTCATATGTTCATCATCACGTACCGCGTGAATAGATGTAGGTATTTTATCAACATCTGATTTCAGTGAGATTGATTAAAAGTCACATCATCCAACAGAACATCGGAATTTAACACGCTATATCTAGAGCCAAAGAAAATTAGAGGACATATACATGGAGCACAATATACAGGTGTAACACAGTAGGCGTAAACTCACGTACTTGTTGGTAATAGCCATGTTTATTACTTGTTGAATAATAATAATGTTACATGTACAAAAGCAACATCTCATTAAAATACATAGTTCATATACTCATACTAGTACTTCACATTGTGTCTCGTATCAGAACTGTCCCTGAATAAAAACAGTATCTCTAAGGTATACATTAAAAAACCCACTCCTCATACTGTTCATCATCGTGAAACCTGTTTAAGAATTTTAATTTTTGGCGCGGCGGGCATTTCTAAAGGCAGCCCGAAAGATAGTTAAATTTTGTCAATAGAATATACTAATCGGATTAGTAGATATCAGTGCTGTCCACCGTAAATACAGCATTCACACCCGACCTACCAGATATTACGTATTGACTAATTAATCCCTACATCCACTCAGCCAAAGATTACTGACTTATGTATCTGAGATGCACTAATATCGAAACCACATTTTGTAACAATATATCTAAGACCTATTTTGTTACACAGGTCGCAGTATCGTTTCTGTAACCCATATTGAATAGGAGTTATCTCCCTTATCTCCCGCCAAGTCAAGGACATATTCCACGTCATTGATTACTTGCATGTAATCAACAATATTCAAATCAAGGAGATTACTCTTTACACAATCAAAGCGATAATTTTCCTTGAAAAGGTGTTAAACCTTTCATATTCTAACAGAACATGTATATTTAGAATGGTTTGTCCAGTACAGTATCTCCATTGCTTTCAGGTTTAACGTAGATGTCGTATTGATAAGCTATGACGTCATGAAGCACCTGTAGCAATATGACAACCGTTAACACGTCTAATATAGACGAAGTGTTTAAGTGTTTGAGGGAAAACAAACCGATCACTTCAGACCTCATCAAGAAGTCTTCCTCAGATTACGAGAGTCTCAAGGTAAGTAAATGATAGACATAATTCATCAGGAATCCAATATTTTCTGTGATTACCATTCACTCACACTTTCACGTGGATATAGTTTTTAACCAGAAATATATTACAAAATTAATTTCTAAAAAAAATAAATGAAACCAATACATTTGAACGCATTCTTAATTCTGCGTATAGCTAAAACATTTCAGGTCGCATAAATCGCGTTCTAGCGATGACAGCACACCGGCTCACTGTTTCAGTAACGTAAAGCCAACAATAAATCACTGAACCTCATGAAATCAGTATGTAAGAGTTCGTTTGGCCGCAAAAATAAATGTAGTTGTAAATGTAAGTAAGGAGATACTGCACATTAACAATTATATCCATGTACCAGGGACCATCTGAGGATAACTGTTGAGATTGTTCTATATTTGTCGGAAAGATTATAAGGATACCATAGTGAGGTTAACATGGCGATTTATAACACCATAGGAAGCCCTGAGAAATAGAGAAGAGAAGTCAAAGGGTCAACAGCCGGCAGATCTATACCAGTGTCCTAAGTGTAAAAAGAATATACCTTACCCCCATCCTAATCTCAAGGAGGAGATTGATCGTCTTACCCAGGAACTAGGTAACTCTGTCAGGTTTTAAAGCACATTGTACAAGTGTGATTTGTTTGTCACCGAGAATCTGATTTAATTTGACATGTTTATGTGACAGGTATCGGGTTTTGTAAACAGATATCCATATCCCGACAAAAGAAAAAAAAACATTTGGATCATCAATGATAATATAGAGACTAGAAAGTACAAAACCACATTGATTTCAAGGCAAGGCTTCAAGAACATTTTTTTTTGACAACTTTTTATAGTACATTTAAACACGACATACCTAAATCGTTGTCAAAAATCACAACACTCATGATGGCTTTGCTTTATTATGGAAGTTCAATATTCAAATATTATTTAAACTAGATAGAAAATATCCTAAACCACTGGTGTTACAATGCACTACTACTAGTATTTTATCCGGAGTGTCATATTTATTACGTAATAGCAATTAATTCGGGAAGAAAGAAATTACCCCTTTTTCATGATTTTAAACCCTACATCACGAACTTGATATGGATGGGAAGTTTATAACTTAATCAATTCACAGTGCAATTAATTATCACGACGAAAATACGTGGAAAATCGTCTGTAAACAATTAAGTAAACAACCACGTGTCTTTTACTATGTTAGACGACAGGACTAAGAAATGTCAGCAGATGGAGCAACATATCACCACACAGGATCAACAGATCACCACACAGGATCAACAGATCACCCAGCTGAGACAGATCAACGACCACAGAGGGTAATACAGGATTTACTGTATAAAACACTAAGATTGAACAATGACAAACGACCTCCATAAATGTTGTATAATTCAGCTCATCACAAAAGATTTTAAAAATTCTGTAGAATATATTGTAGATCGCAGAGGGTAACCCACTGTCTAGAATATGTTCGATTTCTACAATACACTTTAACATCAACACCATATAGAAATAAATCATGTAATAATCTCGTTTGTATGGACTTTGCAATTTCCTCAAGATAATCATCTGTCACTTTCTGTACATCCAGTGTGTTAAAGTGATGTTAAATGCTTCATATCTTTATCAATGTTCATTTGTTTTGGATTTGGATTTGTTCTCCCAACTAGTAAGGTCAATACATTGTAAAGATAGTATCCACAACAATTGGGCCATTAAAGGCACTTTTATAGTGCTATCATATTGAAATGCCGTAACTCAAACGCAGCAATACACCCTACCCAATGGTATTATAATGACAAGGAGGGATCAAGCCAATAAAACAAAAACACGCTTGTTCGGTCTTGGTCAGATGTAAAAATCCATCTCTTCTCCAAATCGTTAAACATCAATGTTTTATATGAGATAGACGTTGTCGTGTTATCAATGTTTTATATGGTAGACGTTTCCTAGTTGTTATCAATGTTTTATATGGTTATCAATGTTTTAAACATTCCAAATAGTTAAAATTTCACATAAATGAGAATAATAGTGGTAGACGTTGTCTTGTGGGCTATCAATGTTATCAATGTTTTATATGGTAGACGTTGTCGTGTTATCAATGTTTTATATGGTAGACGTTGTCGAGTTATCAATGTTTTATATGGTAGACGTTGTCATGTTATCATGTTTTATATGGTAGACGTTGTGTGTTATATGGTATGGTTAGTTTTATATGGTACAGTTGTCGTTATCAATGTTTTATCAATGTTTTATGGTAGACGTTGTCGTATAATGTTTTATAAGAGATACGTTGTCGTGTTATCAATGTTTAATATGGTAGACGTTGTGTTATCAATGTTTTATATGGTAGACGTCGTCATGTTATCAATGTTTTATATGGTAGACGTTGTCGTGTTATCAATGTTTAATATAGTAGACGTTGTCGTGTTTTCAATGTTTTATATGGTAGACGTTGTCATGTTATCAATGTTTTATATGGTAGACGTTGTCATGTTATCAATGTTTTATATGGTAGACGTTGTCGTGTTATCAATGTTTTATATGGTAGACGTTGTCATGTTATCAATGTTTTATATGGTAGACGTTGTCATGTTATCAATGTTTTATATGGTAGACGTTGTCGTGTTATCAATGTTTTATATGGTAGACGTTGTGTTATCAATGTTCTATATGGTAGACGTTGTCGTGTTATCAATGTTTTATATGGTAGACGTTGTCATGTTATCAATGTTTTATATGGTAGACGTTGTCGTGTTATCAATGTTTTATATGGTAGACGTTGTCGTGTTATCAATGTTTTATATGGTAGACGTTGTCGTGTTATCAATGTTTTATATGGTAGACGTTGTCATGTTATCAATGTTTTATATGGTAGACGTTGTCATGTTATCAATGTTTTATATGGTAGACGTTGTCATGTTATCAATGTTTTATATGGTAGACGTTGTCGTGTTATCAATGTTTTATATGGTAGACGTTGTCAATGTTTTATCAATGTTTTATATGGTAGACGTTGTCGTGTTATCAATGTTTTATATGGTAGACGTTGTCGTGTTATCAATGTTTTATATGGTAGACGTTGTCGTGTTATCAATGTTTTATATGGTAGACGTTGTCGTGTTATCAATGTTTTATATGGTAGACGTTGTCGTGTTATCAATGTTTTATATGGAGGACGTTGTCGTGTTATCAATGTTTTATATGGTAGACGTTGTCGTGTTATCAATGTTTTATATGGTTTACTGTTATCAATGTTTTATATGGTAGACGTTGTCATGTTATCAATGTTTTATATGGTAGACGTTGTCGTGTTATCAATGTTTTATATGGTAGACGTTGTCGTGTTATCAATGTTTTATATGGTAGACGTTGTCGTGTTATCAATGTTTTATATGGTAGACGTTGTCGTGTTATCAATGTTTTATATGGTAGACGTTGTCATGTTATCAATGTTTTATATGGTAGACGTTGTCGTGTTATCAATGTTTTATATGGTAGACGTTGTCATGTTATCAATGTTTTATATGGTAGACGTTGTCGTGTTATCAATGTTTTATATGGTAGACGTTGTCATGTTATCAATGTTTTATATGGTAGACGTTGTCGTGTTATCAATGTTTTATATGGTAGACGTTGTCATGTTATCAATGTTTTATATGGTAGACGTTGTCGTGTTATCAATGTTTTATATGGTAGACGTTGTCGTGTTATCAATGTTTTATATGGTAGACGTTGTCATGTTATCAATGTTTTATATGGTAGACGTTGTCGTGTTATCAATGTTTTATATGGTAGGATGTTATCAATGTTTTATATGGTAGACGTTGTCATGTTATCAATGTTTTATATGGTAGACGTTGTCATGTTATCAATGTTTTATATGGTAGACGTTGTCGTGTTATCAATGTTTTATATGGTAGACGTTGTCATGTTATCAATGTTTTATATGGTAGACGTTGTCGTGTTATCAATGTTTTATATGGTAGACGTTGTCGTGTTATCAATGTTTTATATGGTAGACGTTGTCGTGTTATCAATGTTTTATATGGTAGACGTTGTCGTGTTATCAATGTTTTATATGGTAGACGTTGTCGTGTTATCAATGTTTTATATGGTAGACGTTGTCGTGTTATCAATGTTTTATATGGTAGACGTTGTCATGTTATCAATGTTTTATATGGTAGACGTTGTCGTGTTTTCAATGTTTTATATGGCAGACGTTGTCATGTTATCAATGTTTTATATGGTAGACGTTGTCATGTTATCAATGTTTTATATGGTAGACGTTGTCGTGTTATCAATGTTTTATATGGTAGACGTTGTCGTGTTATCAATGTTTTATATGGTAGACGTTGTCGTGTTATCAATGTTTTATATGGTAGACGTTGTCATGTTATCAATGTTTTATATGGTAGACGTTGTCGTGTTATCAATGTTTTATATGGTAGACGTTGTCGTGTTATCAATGTTTTATATGGTAGACGTCGTCATGTTATCAATGTTTTATATGGTAGACGTTGTCGTGTTATCAATGTTTTATATGGTAGACGTTGTCGTGTTATCAATGTTTTATATGGTAGACGTTGTCGTGTTATCAATGTTTTATATGGTAGACGTTGTCGTGTTATCAATGTTTTATATGGTAGACGTTGTCGTGTTATCAATGTTTTATATGGTAGACGTTGTCATGTTATCAATGTTTTATATGGTAGACGTTGTCATGTTTTCAATGTTTTATATGGTAGACGTTGTCGTGTTATCAATGTTTTATATGGTAGACGTTGTCGTGTTATCAATGTTTTATATGGTAGACGTTGTCATGTTATCAATGTTTTATATGGTAGACGTTGTCGTGTTATCAATGTTTTATATGGTAGACGTTGTCGTGTTATCAATGTTTTATATGGTAGACGTTGTCGTGTTATCAATGTTTTATATGGTAGACGTTGTCGTGTTATCAATGTTTTATATGGTAGACGTTGTCGTGTTATCAATGTTTTATATGGTAGACGTTGTCGTGTTATCAATGTTTTATATGGTAGACGTTGTCGTGTTATCAATGTTTTATATGGTAGACGTTGTCGTGTTATCAATGTTTTATATGGTAGACGTTGTCATGTTATCAATGTTTTATATGGTAGACGTTGTCGTGTTATCAATGTTTTATATGGTAGACGTTGTCATGTTATCAATGTTTTATATGGTAGACGTTTTATATGTGTTATCAATGTTTTATATGGTAGACGTTGTCGTTATCAATGTTATCAATGTTTTATATGGTAGACGTTGTCGTGTTATCAATGTTATATGGTAATGTTTTATATGGTAGACGTTGTCATGTTATCAATGTTTTATATGGTAGACGTTGTCGTGTTATCAATGTTTTATATGGTAGACGTTGTCGTGTTATCAATGTTTTATATGGTAGACGTTGTCGTGTTATCAATGTTTTATATGGTAGACGTTGTCGTGTTATCAATGTTTTATATGGTAGACGTTGTTGTCGTGTTATCAATGTTTTATATGGTAGACGTTGTCGTGTTATCAATGTTTTATATGGTAGACGTTGTCGTGTTATCAATGTTTTATATGGTAGACGTTGTGTTATCAATGTTTTATATGGTAGACGTTGTCGTGTTATCAATGTTTTATATGGTAGACGTTGTCGTGTTATCAATGTTTTATATGGTAGACGTTGTCGTGTTATCAATGTTTTATATGGTAGACGTTGTCGTGTTATCAATGTTTTATATGGTAGACGTTGTCGTGTTATCAATGTTTTATATGGTAGACGTTGTCGTGTTATCAATGTTTTATATGGTAGACGTTGTCGTGTTATCAATATTTTATATGGTAGAAGTTGTCGTGTTATCAATGTTTTATATGGTAGTCGTTGTCGTGTTATCAATGTTTTATATGGTAGACGTTGTCGTGTTATCAATGTTTTATATGGTAGACGTTGTCGTGTTATCAATGTTTTATATGGTAGACGTCGTCATGTTTTCAATGTTTTATATGGTAGACGTTGTCGTGTTATCAATGTTTTATATGGTAGAATGTTATCAATGTTTTATATGGTAGACGTTGTCATGTTATCAATGTTTTATATGGTAGACGTTGTCATGTTATCAATGTTTTATATGGTAGACGTTGTCGTGTTATCAATGTTTTATATGGTAGACGTTGTCGTGTTATCAATGTTTTATATGGTAGACGTTGTCATGTTATCAATGTTTTATATGGTAGACGTTGTCGTGTTATCAATGTTTTATATGGTAGACGTTGTCGTGTTATCAATGTTTTATATGGTAGACGTTGTCGTGTTATCAATGTTTTATATGGTAGACGTTGTGTTATCAATGTTTTATATGGTAGACGTTGTCGTATTATCAATATTTTATATGGTAGAAGTTGTCGTGTTATCAATGTTTTATATGGTAGACGTTGTCGTGTTATCAATGTTTTATATGGTAGACGTTGTGTTATAAATGTTCTATATGGTAGACGTTGTCGTGTTATCAATGTTTTATATGGTAGACGTTGTGTTATCAATGTTTTATATGGTAGACGTTGTCGTATTATCGATATTTTATAAAATGTACGTTGTCGTGTGAAAGGTTAATTTAAACACATTTTGTTTTACCGAAAACCTATGAGAGTACATTAAACTAGATTTCTTGTATCAAATCAACAGGCCGCCTACTCGTTTTGTGACGACATTGCCAGAGCCCAGATGACGAACATGGAAGGCGAACTGTATTGTCCCCTTTCTACGGTAAGAATTGAAATATTAGACAGACATGCTATATAGTTGTTATATTTTTTTTATAAATATTATTTTACCGAGAAGTATCAAAGAAATATTTATGTGGCAAAGACAATGAAATGTTGAATACATTTATCATATTCGTCACGTGTCATAATGTAGCCATTAAAATCACGTCAGATTGTATTTGTGGTCAATATGAATGCCGCCTATATGGCAGATAGATAATCATGATGTCCGATTATTCCAATGTCACCCAGATTATATTCATATTGATAATGAATACAATTTTACGACCATTCAGTTGTTATAGTTAGATTTTAGATATCGTTTTAAGATATCCATGTATATCTTTAATGAAAGTAAATAGACTGTGTATGGTTATTTGGTGAAAGATCTTCCTGAAAATCTTAACAACGTAATGCTATACAATCTCTAGCAGAGTGGTCGTTCCTTAACATTCACAATACACTATTGGGGTACCGCAATGTATTCTGGGAGGGATTGGATAGTCTCTGTTTGATGCGACGTATGCCAATATGGTGCCTTAATGACGTCATATCTACGCTCTTTTGAATACAATTAAAATAAAAAGTGATTTTATGGAAGGCTCTTACTCAAATTAACATGTACATATATGGTATCATAATTAATGTCAGACTACCTATCATGTAATGTTGTACTGTACACAATTTGTGACAGTCAAATAAAACTGTTGAAGCGCTATCTCTGTGGATGTAATGTTAGTGCTTTGTTTTATTTACACACAGTGGACGGAAGACGCTCGTGTTGAGTTCATTGGCAGAAAAACAGCGTTGCCTCAAAAATCAGCAAGAATGGCTCATCATTACCGGAAGTCGACGTCAACAGAATGTGTACCAGCCATCCAAAACGTATGTCGTAATTTATAGGTTAAACAGAAATTAATGTAAAGGTCATTGCTTGACGTAAATAAAAGATATCGTTTATAATTGAATACAGTTCAATCACAGGGAAATGGTCCAATGTAACTTCCAAGAGTAAAATCCAAGGTTGAACATGACCTTGAGTTAGGGAGTAAACATACAGGATTCATACTTAACAAACAAAAGAAAAATAGATTATTTTCATCTGATTTTTCCCCAGGCCTTCATTGCTCAGATTCTGCCCGAGTTTATGGATCCGACGTTACATAACAATAGACAAGTTCTGGCTTACGTGAAACGGTGCGTTGAGATCACGTGGTATATGGTCATACAGGAAACACCAATGGTGCTAATCAGTAAGGTCAACCGGAAGTCACCTTTTGACACAAATATTTTCCGGTATTACTCTACTCAAGGTGATAAGTTTGACTTTGTTGTTTGGCCAGCCCTTCTGATGTACTCCGATGGACCAATCATCATCAAGGGATTTGCATATGCTCTGGATCCAAATCGAAGCATTCCGAATCTTAGAGAAATAGAAATGGAGACAAACCGTGTTCCTCCAAAAGGAAAAGAAGATATGGATGCCGCAGAGCTAAACCAGGGTCTAGCTGGAGGGACGCCATGGGGCTCGAACTATTTTTCAAACGCTGGTACGCCTTCTGTTGACCTTCCTCCACTTCCGTCTGGGAACGTGAGTCCAACACGTGTAAGTCCTGGCAGAGTGTCTCGTGAAGAAGAAAAGCTTACGGCAGCATGGAAGGGTAAGAAAAAGCCTAAAGCAAGACCTTAATTCATGTAAGCACACCAAACACTTGTGGACACCACTAGCATGACAAAATACAAGTCGAATATAGTTTTCACCGGAAGGCAAACGAGGAAAATCCGACACATATACCATGGTTGGCTTGGCAAAATACTGGGATACTTATTCTACCTTTATATTGTTGATATCTATGTAATCTACTGCCATGACGCAAGCGCAAGTCCTTTGTTTTTTTTTCTATATCCAGCGGATGTTAAGAAATGGAGTATGTGATAACGACAGCTATGGACTCCAAATGGGTGACTGCAAATTGGACAGTCATCTGAGATTCTGAGATGTGTTGGAATGTATGTATGTATGCAATCTAAGCTTAATTTGAAACGTATAGATATCTAAAGAAATACCAAATCAGTCCGAAAACCCTGTTTGTTGGTTGGCAAGACTATCCGACACTGATAATTCTTGACATTTTAGGGATAGGGTGACAGATAGCTTTACAATAAAACATTCGTTTTCAAAACTAACGTAACACAGTCACGGGTTCAGCCTATTGTTAAAGCCTCTGTAACTGTTGCCACCAATCCTTGATTTCTGATTGGTGAAAATATTCCAACGAGTTAGCAGTGACTCCTGATTTCTCTTTGTTTTATTGGATTCTATAGACGGATGATTATATTGAGTGTCGCACTGTTGCATCGAAAGTTCTTGTCTACACTGATAGTAATCTGTTTGATAAATCTCTTCATTTGTATGTTTTATTAAACACGTTTATTACAACCAGACACTGTTGATCAATGTTAAAAACCTTTACAATGAGATCACTTTAACCTACAACGTAAAGGAATATATCTGTACTTTGGTCTGGCTAACATTTCAGCTAGACATGTTTTACATCGGAGCATAAACAATTCAGGACATATATATCAAATCTTAGATATATTCTGATCTGATTACTTATTTGAGAATACGATTAAATAATTCTAGTAATGTTTGTTTTTGTAATTTGTTTTATTGATAAAAAAATCGGCCGGTGGCTCTTTTATAGAATGTAAAGGGTCCCAATTATTGATCTTCTTTTGAAAAAATAGTTAATTAACTAATTTTGAGTCTTTTTTATTTTATATAACTATAGCTGGATCATAGCCTATCACATTTCAAATTTAGATTTCCACTAAATCTTGCATGCTGAAAGCTTAGATCATCATAGAATTATTGCTTTTAAACTCCAGATACCTGGTAAAAACTGAAAATTGGTCATTTGAGACGCAAAATTACAAATGAGAAATCACAAAACGTTTAATTTACATTACACTTATCGGATTAAACCCCTAAAATCTAACACTTTCCTGAAAATTGTACACCACGTTCCACAAAGGACCTTTTACATCCAGTTTGTATAAAACCGCATTTCCTTTTTGTATTGTTGTTATTTCATCACTTCTGCTAAAGGTTTGAAGAAACAGTAATTTGAGAACAGCTTATTAACGATCCACGACTGCTGATACCTAGGGATATTTCAGCAATAGTACATGTTATCATTTGTCTTGCTGGAACCTAAAGAATTGGTACCGTACCATTGCGAAAGAGAGTCTTCATACTCATCAAACATGTATCTGATACAGTAACGTTAATTAGGACACGGGTTCCACATAGCAGCGAACGATAACAGAAAACAGATATTTCTTCCTAAACAACTTTCGTCACAATGTGTACTTCACACCACACGAAAGAATATATATTCATACAAATATAAGTTTTCCAGCGGTTATTTCGTAACAACAGCTAAAAGATCTTTACAATAGTGATGATCAAAACGTCTAAATTCCTCATATTCTATGTATTGTGAGACCAGCAACTACTTAATTGTTTGGTGAGTGTATTTCATTTCAAAATTCTAATGCCGATATGTCAAAATAAGTAAGAGTTATCTCTCTTTACACAACTGAACAATTTAATGCTGTGAACTACTTTGTACCACAATGCTTGTAGGTGGATATTATAAAATACCGAGGCACCAATCAGTCGATATTGTTAAACAAATCGGTTTAATCTAAACGTGGTATAAAACTCCAAAGAGATTTTGATTGACTGACGCGAGGAAATTTAACCCGGACTGTCTTTTGCTCGTTGACGTCGCCAAACGCTCGTACAGAAAGCGATGACAGACACGCGTTTGAATTTAATCACTAACAACACACTGCTCTTTCCGTATCGTAAAACCTCAAAAAAGTAATTTACTCTTCCGAGAGTGACAATTTATAACTGACATGTGAATGATTAAGATTAACGGAAATTTAAAATGTGCAAAAAATGGTTCGCGGATGATTTTGCAATGATTAAATTTCACATTGATCTATCATTGTATTGCCTTGAAGACGATTAACCAGCTAATTGCTTGTTGTGATTCATAATTTTTCACCTATTTCTAAATTTGTCAGTTTCGAGAATTATTAAACTGTAGTGGCAATTCAATTTTCAATACAGGTTCCAGTAATTAAGGCCCTCTTCATAGTCGGAATAGCTATTGTATTGTGTGGTCACTTAGGGTTATTAGTTACTAGTATGGTATTTCTTTTCTTTTTTTCGTTCACTATTTCTCGAAAGGTTTTTAGAACTTTTTAGTTCACTAATTTAAAAAAGGTCTTGTAACTTTTCGTTATCGTTCACTATTTCTCAATAGCTTTCATACTAAATTTTTCGTTTTCGTTCACTATTTCTCAAAAGGTTTTGTATCTTTTTCGTTTTTATTCACTATTTCTCAAAATTTCAGTAACCTTTTCCGTTTTCGTTCACTATTTCTCAAAAGGTTTTGTAACTTTTTCTTTTTTGTTAGTTCGTTTTCGTCAGTTATTTCTCCAAATGTTTTTGTAACTTTTGCAATAAAACTTCGATATTGATAAAATGCCATTAACAAGGACAACAATTTGGTAACGTCTATATATTAGATTCTAATTCCAATCGAAAGGTACAACGGTATACCCCAATATTATGAAAACACATATTTCAGCTTAAAGAGGAAACATCAGCCCGTCTTATATCTTCGAACTCTTTGTCAAAAAATGGAATAGCTGAAAGTTTCCCCATACAAAGCATTAACGCGAGTTTAAATACACTGAGAATCGTCTTCCTATACTTTCATTTGTCGATACAAATCTCCGAAACATCGTTTCTGTGTGATATAACAATTAACTTTAGAAATATGATGGCATGAACACAATTGCAAACAAAATATTATGTAATGAATATAGTGTCAGACAAATGCATATCGTAAATTTCCCAAACTTAAATGTAATCTGGATCCAGAAAATGCAATGTTTGTCTTATTATGTTCTATTGATTCTGTTTCCCCTTCACAGACAGGAGCAATCACAGGTAACAAGGAATGAAAGTCACTACAACATTATTAGCTCTTAGTCTAAGGATATAGTGAAGGAGATATTGGCTGAATAAATTGGAAATATCAGAAAAAGTCTGAAACCTGCAACGTTAACACTTACTTTATAGAAATCGAATTAGAAGTCAGAAATATTAATATAATTCTTCCACTATCATCAGTAAGGTGGCAATGACAAGTCAGTGGTATCATTATCCGCGAAACATCCGTTACTTTGAAAACGACAAGAAACATCCGTTATTTTTAAAACACCGTCATATTTATAAAATCTTAACCTAAACTCAAAGTCGAAGACACAATAGAAATACTTATAAGGAGTGTCTTTGCGCGAAACGTCCCCGTTGGTTCTTGAACAGCTAAGAATCTGAACATGAAATTGTCTTCTGCTTCACCGACGACACCGCCATGTAGATCTGAAATGAATCTCTCTGTTTGCTTTACCTATAAAGAGCATGGAACCATTTTCACAAATGTTGGTTTTCCAATGATAGTGATAGGAATTAGCTAGGCAGATTATCCAAAAAATCTTTCAGTAGGTGATGCAAGCATGAAACTTGGTATGAAACATCCTTAGGCACTATTTTATCAAAAAAGCACGTTAGCCACCTAAAAGCTAGATATGGCGGCCATTTTTTTTCACGATGGCGGCCATAAGGTATTCTTTATTTGGAAAAACTGGATGTTTAAATGAAAATCGATCATTTAACACATTTAATATGGAAAAAGGCATGCAAATGGACACTAACAGGGGTTAAAACTACAAAAGTCATACTATGTACAAAAAAACCATAACTATGCTCGATCAGTGCTCCGTGGGTTCGAGGAATAGAATCATATGTCCTCTGCTTTCGAGCAAACAAATCGAGTCTTGCATCATCAATACTAGCAGTGGGAGTTGATCTATCATACATCATAATCACGAACATTTCCAATACATTCTGATCGTGTTCGCTTATCACTGGGAGATACTTGCTTAGCTCTGAAAACACGCCTGTAGCATCGGGACAAACATCCCATGTCTGCTATGCAGTTTTCTCTCCCTTACCTCGAAAGGCAGAGACAACATCACATCCCGTGAACGCATGGAAGAACAACAAACCCTCGGACTTCTCAACACCGATTTCTTTATGGATATCTTTTACTGGAATCCATCTTAAAGTCTTTCCTTGACCAACCTCTATCCAAAGTGTTTGTAATCCTATGTTGATAAGATCGGGCAAGACATTCACACTGATTACCAAAACATCTGTGTCGTTAGCTTTAATCATGATGGATTTTCTCCCTTCTCCTGCAGCATGTCTTGCATGTACAAAAAGTCGCGTATCTGCTTCCTCGTTAATTACATTTTGAGAGACCTTCAAGATTTACTGGCCTGTTGCAAACAACACTGTCTTCTGTTGTAACATAAACAATATTTATTGTGCAAAGTTCAATGACTTTCTCAGCTAGAAATTTGAACAGTTCTGTTTTATTTGTATTGTCTCTCATGAAATTAATCCAGTTTTTCGGAATACTATCTTTTTCTGACATCCTTCGTCTTGCTCCAAACCCTTGTTTTTTCCTCGTCTCAGCCTTTAAACTACTTGATTTGTAGACGTCAAACACAAAATCGAGTCTAGAATATGTTGAACAG